ACAGTTTGACCATGTTTGACCTATGTTTGACCCCACTCTAGAGTAGAGAGTATAACATCATATAACATCTATCCTTGAAGGCAACGATTCCCATATGTTTTCTCATTCCTCGAAGGCGCTGGTTCCGAGACCCACATTTGTTACCTGAAAACCACGCTCGGTTTTTTTGTTTTTAAAAGAGGACCATCGTCTCCCAGTCTGGTCCATGCCATCAGGTTGTGGCTCCCTTTCCTGCTGTAAAGACTTAGGAACTCTGCAAAGAGAAAGACCAAAACACGAGGTTTTGCGTTTTTTTTTTTTTTTTTCGGGGGGAGTGTATGTGTATATGTTCAGTTCCTAGGTGAATCCCCAAAGATATCTTCCCTTTATTGTCCCAACAAGGTGATGACAAAGAAGGTCCAAGGCTTATGTATTGGACCCACTACTGCCAAGACCGTGCAGGTTTGGAGCAAGAAGCGGGGAACATGTTCATCGAGCTGGTTCCGCAGACAGGCGAGTTTTTTCCGAGCAAAATGGCACCAGGACCGAAACTAAGAGGTGTGTCTATAGCCTCTTAGAGGTGAGTGTCCCGAGGTGTCCCCAGTGTCCCACCGGACCAGCGGTCTCGTTTTGGGGCAGATGGGCAGATGTGCCGTCTTCGGATGCACAGAACTTCGACATGTCATCTAAGTCCCTTGCATGTTGTGTTTGCTACTTTGCTGCTCCAAAACCCGTTGACAGTCAGCAGTGCCTGCATCGGAGATGTTGTCACCCCCAAAAAAGCGTCGAGGAACATTGCATCGGAGTGACGAACCCCGCATCTATGAGAAGTTGCTGATGCTATGATATGCAATGTGATGTGCCATGCAATAAAAACGAGGTGAATCATCCAAACAACAGCTTCATGTCTGAAAACAATCCCAGACACTCCATGTATGTCCTACATTGACCCTTCAAAACCACCCCAATGTAGGTAAATATGGCAGTCCCATTAGTCGTGTCTGGGAATTGTAAGGTGTACCATCATGCCCAGTGACGAAAAAACATGAAGCATCGAGCCAACCATGGCTCCAGGGCTCAAAGAGAACGTCTATTTGAAGCCCATCCTGACGAACCTCTTCCCCGAGCTAGGCCGCGCAAGCGCCGCGTGGCGCGTTCGGGGCGAGCGACACGCTCTGAGAACGGATCGAAAAGACTGATATAAGTGCCTATAGTGTCAACACCAGCACACAACACTCATCTTTTGGTAATTCGCATTGCAAGGGTGTGGAAGCATTCTTCAATACTGGAAGTCACCTGTCCAGGATTTTCCAGAGGGAATCCTCCCTTCTCCAAGCTGAGACCCACCCCATCCAACCCCTCATCCCACCCCCCATCAAGATCCCCCGTTTGTGCATGAAGGTAGAACTACCTTCAGGTTGAGCCCCGTCTCAGACATGGAGCCCCTTCACAGTTGACCAAGACTAACTCCGCAGACAATTTGCAGACTCGCTTGGCCAAACAACCAATGTTTTAAAAATTAGTGTAAGTATGTCACAGATATTTCTATGAAACATGTCGTGGATCGAACAATTATAGTTGTGGAGAAGCCCACCAATCTTCATGGACCTGGGGTTCCACCCAACAATTGGCGTTGTGGTGTTCTATAACCTTTCAGACTCATCCAAGAAGTTTCATCTCTCCCTCAACATTTCAACTCTTTCAAATCAAAACCTCATTGGACCTGTTTCGACCAACTCCCTCGGAGGCTTCTTCAGAGATCAAGACGATCAGACCAAGTGCTTGCTTCGTGAGACCTTGTGCCGACTACTGGTGGCCACTTGGCGCAACACGATGTTAACAAACATATGCGGCCCGAATAGTTGTTTTTGGAGTGTGAAATAAGCATGTGTTGCAAAAAATAAGAGATACCCCAATGTCTGTAGACCTGGTTCTTCAAAGTGACCCTTTAATCACCTGGTTTGAGGTCACTTAAGCCTCCTAAGGGTCACTTAGGAACCTTCAAAAGGTCACTTTGAAGAAGCTGGGATGTGACATAACCCAATAACGCGTCTTTGGACGACATGTTTTTACTGATCACATCTCAGATGTGTGGAGATCTTGCGGCACGTGCCGTACGTAGAGGAGAAGAGGAAGAGTCATGTCTGTTCTTTGACGATGTCCCGTGTTTGACTGGCACGCATGGCATCTCGCATATCATATGTTTTCTCTCCCTCTCTTTCTGTATGAGAAAAAAACAAAAAACTCGTAATTATGCATATTTCAGGATGACTGTGGTTGACTATCAAGCTATAACTACCTTGCCAAGAGTCCAAGAGCTAGCACAGGACCTGTATGGTCCACACACCATGGCTATGGCTTGGGGGCCAAAGAAGTTTCCACCGACAATTTAGTTCCCCAAAACTCACCTGCCAAACCACATAGGGGAGGTAACATGTTAGTTCTCGCTGGATTACAGTCATTTCCAGGCCTTTGAACATTTATATATTGTATATTACCCACTCATCCTGCAAGTTCATGGTAAGCTGCACAGGAGTGGATGATGTGATGTAGGGACTCCTTAGTGTTGTATATTATATATATATATATCACCATAAAACTGAAGTTAGAGGTGGTAACTCCATCGTGACCGTCGTGGTACCCTTCTCAACGTCAGCGGGGCGAACGACGTCCGAGGTCTACTGGACAGCCACAGACCAGCCGGAGGCACGGTGGAAGGTCGCAATTTCGGTTTCTCCACAACTGGACAACTCGGACCAAGCAGGTTCGGGTAACAACCTGGGAGGCACCAGGACCAGGGAGGCACCAGGGAGGCAGGAAAGGACTAATTGGACAGTTATAGCTGGTGGGTTTTTTGTGGGGGTTCGGGTCATCGTCGCAGGTTCTGGTCAGTATATATGAGTTGTGACGGACACTGTCGGGTCCAGGAAGATGTTCTCAACTCGCGAGGTTTAGAGGGATTGGACGTGCGCTTTGGAAGATCTGGAGGATGACATGTTTGTTGCCTGTAGGGGGTTGTGAAGATGTCCAAATGGACTACTGCAATGGATGTCACAGTTAGAAAAGAGCAACCATGGGTTTTAAGGATTTGGCTTGGGAAAAAAAAGTGTCAGAGGACGTTTTGGATATCTTCTATAAACCTGCGGTGCTCTCCTATTCTTTATGCACTCAATGTCAATAGATGTGGTGCCATGTACTTCATGGCACCTCTTTCGCCAAGCATGATGAAACAAAAGCAGTGACGCCAAGAAGCGCATGAGAGTGAAAATTACACCCAGTGGTTCTCTTTCAGGAAAAGAACAACAACTATATGTAAGGACCTGAGGTCGACCCGGAACTCGTACCGCGGAAATGGGTACACGATGTACAAGTATACCTGCATATACCAACCCTTTTAGATGGTTCAAGTACCTGCTTTATATCTCGTCATCATCCCATTTTCTAAGGTACATCGGGTCCCCAAAAGGGTCCAGGAAACATAGAATCTCTTCAGCTCTAAAGAGCTTCGCCGAGCTCTAAAGCAGTTATCCAACTGAGGTCATTCCTCCGAAGTCTTCCGGAGTTCCCCTCTGGGTCCTCGGTCCTACCGATTCACAGGCGGTGCTTGACCCGACGAAGATGTCATGGCGGGTCGTAAAGGAATGCCACCCAGAAAGTCTCAAAAGATGCAAAGTCACTCATGAGTCACTCAATCCCAACTTTGACTTCTAGGACATTTCTATAGCATAGACTATCTCACCTCAGCGTTGGATCACCTCAGCAACCCATATCCCCGCCCTATGACCTCACCTAATCCAGACCTTGGACACGTGAGACCTCTCCCTTCTCCTCTTCTGCCGTTTCTCCCCGCGAACGACGGAGGCCTTCACGCGAGGGCAGGAGATCGAGAAGAAGCTCTCCGAGAGCAGCTGGTCCAAGCCGGGAAGCCCATTTTCGGGTCGTTTGTCGATGGGCGTCGCATGGGCGTTGGAAGGTGGTCTGGCAGCCTGTCGTTTGGAAACTTATTTGGAGGGTCTGATGAATTTTTCTGGGCCATGGGTAATACTAGGTGCGAGAAGGCCCTAGTTCTTGTTGCTTTCCAAATGCATGCAAGTAGATCCATATTTGGATGCACTGCCAATCATTTTGGATCATTTTGCTAGCACTTGTCCAGTCTGAAGTTCAGGCACCACCCCCGGTCCTTCGGGGGCAGGGCCCGAAGGCTGATTTCAGGTGATGGAAGGTGGACGTTTCATTCTGGACCCTGCGATGTGATTTTGTTCAGAAACACATTATAAGATCTATTATATGCATTTATATGCGTTATTTGGGTGAAAGAATCATTTTAGATTGCTGGGAGTGTCCAAAACCCGGTCCGAAGCTGGGAGTCTGGAAAAGACGTCAACCCAGAAAAAGGCCAAGGGGCCCCGAATTGTGACTTCTTCTTCTTCCAGCACTCACCGAGGTCGTGTTATATGAATAGCCCCTTATAAAGAGTGATTCGGGGTGTCCATGAACCACCCCGACTGGGCTCCAGGTTACTTTTTCATTTTTGTGTGTGTGCTCTCCCTATCTCAGTGCTGAACTCTAGAACCTGACCGTCTTGGAATCATGCACAGAAGCTGTATTCCTTGGTTCACATAGTGCAATACAGCTTGGCGATGCGCAGATGAACACGTGCAAGACGCTTGTGCCTCCAGTTTCAGCTTTGGGGTTGAATGACTTTGAGCAAACAAACACATCAAGATCTCTCTACCAGGAGCTTCACAGCATGTGGATTCGGGTGTCACGAGGTGCCAAACCCCACCTGGTCCACCAGTGAGCACGACCCAACAGCACCTTCTTCTTCTTCTTGAAGGTTTGGGTGCACCTACTGGTAACCTCCAAGGTTTCGTGCCCCCTATGTTGAAGATGCTACGCTGTTACGCACCTTTGAGCATAAAACAAACAATATAGCGGCTAGATGCGTAGAATGGCATATATTATATACAGAAATTCTGTGGGCCATGCACATCAAACATTAAGGCCATTCCCCGAAATGACTCGAACGACCGCGCTTGCTTCGCCCCGAACGAACACCCTGCTTCGAGTCGACGACGGCCATGGCGGCGGCGGGCCTAGCGGCGATCAAGCCGCCCATGGCGGCGAGCATTGTGGAGAAAATGGAGGAGTGCACTGATCGGTCCCGTGGGCGGGCGATGTGCACCAGTCACTAGTGGTCATTCTGGAGCACTGGACGGATTGAGTCAGAGGATGTTGTTTTTCCACCATGCCCTTCTAATTATTTCCATGGTGAACATCCTATTGTTCCAGGGCAAGCCCAAAACGCCACAGGGCTCACCCTTTTCTGGTCGAGACGATCACACTCAGACGCGACATGAGAGAGTCTTGGCCCACATAAGACATACCTAGCGCTTCCAATGGGTGTCCAATGGTGTCCTACAAGCAGTGTAGGGTTGTCCATTGGCAGCTGGTACTTGTACCTTTTGCATCCTTTTGCTTGGTTTTCTCTTAGGATGAGGTTTTCGCCGGTTAAGGGTGAATCCCTGAACGCACCGGTCTTGGACTTGATTTCTCCGGCTTCTGTTTCCACACCGGTGCTTCCCAGATGCTTCTTCGGAGGAAGAAGAAAGCGTGATGGCGTTTCCAACTGGTCTGTTGGTCCAGGCGTAACAGAAACCTAGCAGCAGTCTGGAGGAAGACATCAAACAAACAGATTTAACATGATTAAACAAAATAACACCGGTCTTAACCATCAAACCTCATGCTCACCACCCCAAGAAAAAACACAGTTCTTAAATTGGACGAACCATTCGAATCTTTATAGATTTGGGTATAGCACTTATATCATTCACTCAACCCAGAAATGCATTTGGTTCCAGACCGCCGAGCCCTTTCCATGGTCAGCAGGTTCCTTCCGCGGCAGAAACCTTGGGCGAAATGAAGAGCTCGGTGGCATCGCAGATCTTGTCGAAGATGGTGGACAACGACGCTCATGCTCGGGCGGCGGAGATCCTCACGGTGGCTCAGCCGTGGTGGTCAGAGCGATTTGCCAGGGGTGGCTGGAAAGCTTGGTGGGAAGAATTTGTTCTTTCAGAACTGGTGCCAGGGCTATGGTGATGTTTCTGCCCAGTTGTGGGGTGAAAAGCCTGCAGACAGGTTGGTTGGGTGTTCGTAATTATTACCAGATCTGGGCATGGGATTAAGAGTCAAAGGCAGGCGCTGGCTGGCATTCCTTCCACTGTAGCTCTTTTGTGTTTTCTGGCAAAGACATGGTTTTCGGATGTTTTCGGCACTTTTAGGACATGGGGGAGTTGGGTACTGCGTTGTAAAGTACAAGCACGTCGCAGACGTCTTTCTTGATTCACCTGAGTTTCCAAGGGATCTAGGGAATCTAGGGTTGGTTTCTATAGTTTGGACCCCCAGGGATCCAGTCGTACCTTCTCAGGTACCTTGATGTGTTCGAAATGTAGCTGCCAGGAGGGTCCAGTCGTAGTGAGCCTGAGGTTCGGTATACGACAGAATCCCTAGGGCCCTAGGGAATTGCAAGATCTTTACAAATTGAACCCCGGAGTCAGGAGTCTGATTATTCAGAAGCTACGTTTGGACCCAGGCTACGACTACATGGTGTCTTCATCCCATTTTGGGAAGCATGGAACTTTGCTGAACGGAGAAACGCCCCGTGTCGACTTGCCCAGTCGACGCGGGAGCCAATGGGGTTCCTCAGGTCTTGGACCGACGTTCGAAGTCCGTCGACGGGTCCAGATGGCTCTTCCAAGAGAGAGTGGTTTTTTACTGACCTTTTAAACCCCTAAACCTCCAGTTGTACCTTCTTAGAAGGTGTTTGGGAAGGGTTTAGAGGGTCCAAATACCTTCTGAGAAGGTACTTAGAGCCCAAGGGAACATGGACCCTTTTTATCTGGGGTATACCTATGGAATCGTCTTCACTAGGATCTCTTTCAACCTTTGTTAGTTCGATCGTCGGACTCGTCGGCTCTCATGACCCATCGGCTCCAGGCCATGGACGGGGCAGCCGAGCTCTTGGCAGAACTCCGGGCCGCAACTGCCGCCTGGGCCTCTTGGCTGCCTGAAACCCATGGCCATCCTCATACCTATTGCACAGGGTCGAGGCGATGTTGCCATGCCCGGCAGAGCAAGTGTGGGTGAGAGTTCTTTCAACGAAGTGATGGGCCCCCGTGCAGGCACCGAAAAGGAGACCATCAGATGGTCTCATTCAGCTGGAAGAAGAAGAGGAAGAGGAAGAGGAAGATGAAGAAGCGTTAATCCTTCACCTGAGTGACTGAGTGAGGCAGAGTAATCATCTTACTGGTGCATAGTAGATAATTATATATAATATTTGATCATAAGGGAATGACCCCTTGCCATAGATACTGAACAGGATCCAGCATGATCCAGCCACCCTCATTGCCCGTTGCTTCTATTTGCGAGTTCGCACCCGTTGGTGATTTTTGAGACTGGAATCGGTGTTGAAACTGCGGAAATCGGTTGCTGGGCTTCATCTTCACAGCTTCATGCCATGACGGATGGCGCGTTTGGATTTTTTAGAGGGGTTTTGTCGCAATGGATGGGCTGAAGGATTTTCCGGTGGGTTTTGAGCTTGCATCTCGAGTAGATCTCGGATCTTCGAACCCTTCTCCTTGGCCGCTATGCCAAGGCTAAACCATGCCCCCTCCAAAAAGGAGGATCCAACCAAAAGGTCCGAAAAACCGACCCTGCCGCGCACCACGGACCACGGACCGCACCGCATGAATTGGACCGGTTCGGACTGGACCACGTCCGCAGCTGTGCTTTCACCTCTCCCGGTGCATCGCGAGAAAACACCGCTCCAGGTGGTCCAAGAGATGGATGTCGAGGTGGCAGCAAACCTTCTGAGTGTGGCTCGGTGTGTTTTTTGCGTGACGGGGCAAAAGCCCCGCGGGGCTGGCGAGCCCGCGGGGCTCGGCAACGGTGAAACCGTGACACTGGGGGTTTGGGGTTGAAGGTTTCTGAGGGAGACCATATTTATATATGACCTGTTTTTCTCAATCTTTCTCTATCGCCTGGTTCTTGACTCATGAGTCGACTGCTTCGGGTCTCAGTTCCCTTCCCTTCTCGGAACGCCGCTGCGGAACTCGGGACCGGAACGGGTGGGAAGACCAGAGACAGCGACGACTCTCATGTCGGAAGAGAGCGAAAGATGGAGCATGCGTGCAACACCGCTCGGTTTGGCAAGCGATGTATTCTTTTCCTAAGCAACACCAACAAATCTGAAACTCTAGAGTCCTCCTGCCCTTAATCTCTCTGGCACACGGTTTGCGCCAACTGGGTTTCAAAAAGAGCTGCGGCGTGGTTCCCTGAGCTCGACACTGAACACAGGCAAGCAATGTATGCCAGTTTGTGGTGTTCCATGGATTTTTCCTATTGGTGCTAGATGGTGCTAGTATAGACAGACTATGACAGACTAGACACCATCGGGTGTGGGTGCTTGGTGTGTTCACTCCATCAGGGCGTTTTACATGTCAACCACTGTCATGTGACGATATGTCATTAACCCTAGGGCTCCAACTGCCTCCTGAGCAGGTGCTTAGGGTGAATTTTGAGGGTCTAACATGGTCTAACCACCTTACCTGAGGAGATGGTTGGAGCATGTTGGAGCCCTAGGGTAATGTCTTGTTGTGTCTTCAACATTTGCAGGAGGTCATGTGTTGCGGCTCGGCAGAGGCGTGATCATCCAGATATGTCCAGATGACTATATACATCCGAAGACACCAATCGATCCAAGCCAGTTGATGACCCACACCCAACCTAAGCAACCCAACAACCCAACCCAAGGAAGTCTTCCAGAATACCATATAAGCAGTTCCACTCTACTTTGCTCCACCACCACCACTGGCAGGAGATGGCTTATGTGGGCGCCGGCTATGTGCTGGCAGAGCTGGATGCAGATCAAGCGGCCCCCATCCTGCTTGAGATGGAGCAACAGAACGCCGCATACATCCTGGATGACGCATGGTGGCAGCGCCGCTGGTGGTCATGGGTCTTCCAGGGAGGAAAAGCTTTTTGAGGATCAAGACCAGACTTTAACATATAGCTATATCATGCTATATCTTCCATGTGAACATATTGACCCTGAAAAAAAACAAACATGATTCTGATCTTAGATGGTTTGAAAGTCCTTCTCCTTCATGACATTTTCCACTTAGTCACCAGATCGGAGGGTTCCCAGCACCACCTGGTTGTCATGAGCTGTCCCTGTGCATCATGCCTTGCGTGTACGCTTTTCAGGTGAATGTTTATTGTCCGAATCTGGGTTAATCTTTGAAACTGTGGAATATGTTTCTATAATGTGCTTTTTTTGTTCCCAGCTAGAGCAGCCAATCCAAGATGCTCAAGCCGCAGAAAAAACACCCTGAAACGCATCCCTCACTAGGACCCTCCAACAGGTCACCACCTGCAACATGTATTTCTACAAAAGCCTCCATTTAGCAGACATGTACAGTCGGATGCTGACAGATGCTGTTCTTCGCACTCGGCGGGTCGGTCTTTTCTGCCCAGGACATGGAGACCTCGGCTGCGCTGGGGATCCTGGCAGTTCCTGGGCTTTGAAGTAGGACATCCATGTTTTTTGTTGAATTTTTTCGAGACACGAGAAGTCGATCAAGACTGAAAGATCCACTATAGAAGGTCCCTAAATTACGGGTTCTCTAAAATCAATGATTCCTCTCTTTTCTTGATGTGTGTGACTGGGGGATGAGTCGGATGAGATTCTTTTTCACTTGCGCAAACGTGCTGGCCATAGGACCCTGTGAGGGAAGGGCACCTGATCGTAGGCACGCTGAGCTCATGTTGTTCTTTGCACTGAATCATGTTGTTCTTTTTGGTACATCCGATCACAGACTTACCCCTAATTTAATAACCCGTTTCTTGAAGCAATAGGCAATGTGTGTTTATTCCCACACTCTAACCCAGGACATGAGCAGCGACCAGAGCGCGGCTCTCCTCTCCTTGATGGTCCCCGATGCCGCGGCACTCATTGCAGCGGAGATGGAGTACGGTGATGCCGCGAAAATCTTGACGGAGACTGGGAAGCGAGATGGAGATGGCTGCCTTTCACTGGATGGAGATGGGGTGAAGATTTGAATTTATATAAACAGAACAATGACCCCGGCAAGATACCCCAAACAGTGTGTGTGAGTGTGAGGTCTAGGGGTGTAGTAGCAGAAAGTCTAGAGATCTAATGTGAGTGAGAGTGAGAGTGAGAGTGGGTGAGTGAGAGTGAGTGAGAGTGAGTGAGGGTGAGTGAGAGTGAGAGAGTGCGTGAGAGTGAGAGAGTGAGTGAGAGTGAGAGTGGGTGAGTGAGAGCGAGAGAGTGAGTGAGAGAGAGTGGGTGAGTGAGAGTGAGTGAGAGTGAGTGAAAGTGAGAGTGAGAGTGAGTGAGAGTGAGAGTGTGATGTGAGTGAGAGTGAGAGTGTGAGTGTGGGTGGGAGTGTGAGTGAGTGAGTGGGTGGGTGAGTGAGTGAGTGAGAGTGAGAGCACAAAGTGCTGTGCCTGCCACGAAATCAGCACTTTGAGGTTCACAAAGTGCTGCGCCTGCTACGAATTCTGCACTTTGATGTTCACGAAGTGTTGTGCCTGCCACGAAATCTGCAAACGAGCCACATGTCCAAAAGTCACGATTCACTACACCTGTCACGAAATCAGAGCACCTCGAAGATCACCGCCATGTCCAAAGTGCTGCGCCTGCCACGAAATCTGCACTTTCATTCTTCACTGATAGACTCAACTAGAGAAGATGCTAACAACAATTTCTGTGTCTCCTTCTTTCTTTGGCCTTCAACTCTATTGAAGAAGTGGTGCTTCTTGCGGGGTGCAAAATTTATCAACAAAGCAATATTAATCTGCTCCAAATCGCTAAGGGCAGCTCGCTAAGGTCGAAGGCCGTATAGCTTGTAGGACGAGTTTGAATTCTTTTGCCGCCGCTTGCTGTCACTACAATGCAGTACAATGAGTACAACGCTTGTGTAAGAAGAGTGCCTGTGTATAGTCAATTGAAACACTTGATATTTTGGCGTGCATTGAAAGCCCCTGTGGCAATTTACACAAGGAAAGCTCAACAGGTGGGGTTGGTACTTGTTTGAGAGGGGGCGGGGGGTAGCGCAGCGGAGCGGGCTGCCCCGTGGTGTGCAAACCAAATTTCGGTTCACGCTATAGCACCGTCGATCCCAAGTTGCAAGCTCAGCTGAAAATATAAACGGAATCTGGAAGGCAGATCGAAAAACTTGTTTGAGGCCGCAAATTGAATTGAGGAGCGCGTTCAGGAAAGGGACACCCAGCAAAGAGCGAACAAAAACAATAGAAGCTTGCTTACCAGAAGTCGCTTGCGCAACAAAAGCCGTATGAAGCAAGCTTGGGCAAAGCTTAGCTGTATGAAGCAATGAAGCTTAGCTTGACAACCGCAGCCTGAAGCTCAAAACTGTGAGCTCTACAAGCGGGGCAGTCGTGGTCGTCCACGACAGCAGCGAAGAGGACGATTCTTTGCAGCCAGAAATTCCATTGCGCTCCACACTTTGTACTACACAAACTAAATCCTGGGGGCCCAATACGCTTTTTGAAATGTCAAAATTGAAAAAATGTTGCTTTCAGGGCATATAGGATCTGAAATCTGCACACCCAGGAGAGAAATCTTGACGTGGGGGCTAGGACCTAGGATTTAATTTCTATTGAATGAAAAGGAGAAAAATGTCATTGTTAAAGAGTTGTTTCTCTATGTTCCTGCAGGTAGGGGGTCAGGAAAAGTCCTGAGTGAATACATGACCCAAAACCATGCTAGTTTTTTTGAAGTGACCATCATCATCCCTTTTCTTCCCTCTAATATTTATCTACAATGAGAGATGTTTGAGAAATTGCAAACATTTTGGGACTAAGGACTGACGAAGAAGAAGAAGAAAAAGAAGAAGAAGAAGGAGAGAGGGAAAGGAGAAGAGTGGAAGCACGAATCAGCACACTACGACCATGTGCTCTCACCAGTTGCTTGCCTCCCAGGATTTTGCGAAAATAGGAAAATGATAACCAAAATACAAAATACACAGCATTTATGTCCTTGAGGGTTGACCATACTAGGTTGCATTGCCATCATTACCCATATTCAAAGCCGACAGTTGAGGACAAAAATGCCACACCGTTCCAACCCACACCCACGACTCATCCCCAAAGACTGGGCTCACCTCAAAACCTGAAAATCCAAGGTGATTCTATGTTTGTCCATTAGAGCTGACCAAGTCACCAAGTCCAATGACTTTCACCATCTGCAAGGATGGTGCACCTGGACAAACATCCACACCATTCCACATGCAATCCAAAAACCCAGATTTAGGTCCAAAGACCCGACTCACATCACAGTTGGTGAAAAATTGATGTGACAGAAATTGCATCGTTTGGGGCAGGCCATGTTCACTGACGTATGTTTGTTCCAGGGTGACTCCTCTGGAAAAATATTTCCACTATTCCATACACAACTCCCCCATCCAGTCTCACCCCCAAAGACCGGACTCAGCCCAAAGACTCGACTCACATCACAAAGTCCGAAAATCTAAGGCGAAACTAGCTTTGTCCATTTTCTAGGTCTGACCAAGTCCAATGACATTAACTTTGTGCAAGGAGGACTCCCGGCAATTTCCTTCGCCACAGCTTTCACCTTTGGACAAAAATCCAAACCATTCCACATGCAACCCCCCACACCCAGGTTTAGATCCAAAGACTCGACTCACATCGCAATTGGTGAAAACTGATATGACAGAAAGTTTGTCCTTTGGGCCGACCATTTTCACTGCCATATGTTTGTTCCAGGCTGACTCCTCGGAAAAATATCTCCACTATTCCATACACAACTCGTTCCCATCCAGACTCATCCCCAAAGACCAGACTCAGCCCCAAAGACTCAACTCACACCACAAAGTCAGAAAATCTAAGCTGAAACTATTTTGGTCCATTTTCTAGGGCTGTCCAATGAAATGATTTTTTGGGCAAGGATGACACCTCTGGACAAAATCCACACTTGCTAGGGGTAGGCTTGTGATGAATGCCTGTAGCGCCCCCCCAAAAGGGTCATATTTTTTTTAGGTTTTCGCGCCGCGGTTGCTTCACGCAGCATTCCGCATCAGTTCACCGTCTCTTGTTGTCACAGCATGTGGAAGTTGTTTTTGAGGTGAGGGGTGTTAGGGGGCAGGAGAAAAATGTCATTGTTGAAAAGTTGTTTCTCCATATTCCTGGAGGTGGGGGGTTAGGATTTAATTTACATACAGGTCATTGCACTTTGTCCTGTATCTTCTTGGCTTGCTGTGTGGTGATGTTTCAGGGGTTAGCAACATTGGATAAAAATTCACATTCAGACATAATTTCCTGTGGGAGGGTGACAAGATTGCACTGCCGCAGGAGCCGCTACGGCCGCGGGCCAAGCTGAGGGCCGAGCCGCCCGAGGCGAGGCCGCGAGCCAAGGAGCGAGCGGCCAAGGCCTGATATTCAAGGGGGTTGCTCCCCGCCCCAAAGAGGCCCCGCAGGCGCAATGCCACCTGTGGTTGCAGGTGTTGGTGCGAAAGGAGGCGGACAGAGGAGGGAGGTCGCACCAGTGCGTCTCAAGGCCAAGGCCTGGCAAATTAAGCTTGTGAGCTCATTGCATTATTGCAACAAATTGTTGAAAAACCAAGCCGGCCGAATCAACGCGTTGATTTGATGTTGGTCCGGAGGCACGGCGGCTGACGGCCGAAGGGAAACGTGCAATAAACGCGACGTGATTTGAAACCCGGCCAGGCTGCAGCGGACGCGATTGCGCGTCGCTTCCTGAGAGCGCTCAGACGGCCCCGCCCACCGGCAACGTTCCGCCTGGAAAAGCCTCGGAGAAGGCCAAAGCCTCGCCTGAGGCCAAAGGCCCGTGGCAGGCTCTTTCTCTACGAGCCGTCGTGATGCTTTATGGCTGGCTACACAGTTAGGTGTGGGTGGACTTGGCCAGACCATTGTCCGACCATACAATAATAAAAAACATAATGACCAACAAATCTCTTTCTCTTTGGTCCTGATCAAGCCGGTTTAACAGCATGATGTCTTCATGCCAAGGCCTTTGGAAGATGTTGTTTCACCAAGAAGCTGTGTCCGGCTTTTGGACTGTCTTCGACCTTTGACGGAGAGAACAAACACACACACAACTGTGTTACTTCGATTGACACCCTTTGCACATGTTGAGCAAGATCTCTCCCTTGGCTATATCTTCTACTTCTATATAGCACGTTGGCCTCATTATATATTTGTTCGGTTGGAAATTGGAAAGCTCAAAGCTCACCGCGTTTTTGTTCGCATCTGCGGCCAGGACCACGTGGCCTTTTCTGGGAATGTAAAACCTCTTCATGCCATGTGCGATTTCATTTGACTCACCTGGACCGACTGACAGAGTACCTTCGAACATGAGACAAGACCCATTAAATAAAAAACCTTACGACTGTATCCATTTTTGGAGGTACGAACTGAGACCCCAGGTATATTACTTTGCGAGGGTCATGTCATGTCCTTCTCTCTTCCCAAGTCAACCCATTGAACCAAACGACCAGCCCCTTTCGCTCAAACAAAATATAACCACAAACAATGCAGTTTGCCATGCCCCGGCCACTATAGTTTGCTCACCAAGCCTTGCGCTTGCCGCACCAGCTCCCGAGGAGATGGAACAGGACGCCGCGGCATCTGTGGTTCAAGAGATGGAGTCCCTGGGTGTCATGAACCGGTCGACCATGGACTAAGGGGTTCCAAAAAGAAACCTGTTGGAAGGTACTGGTATACGATGGTATATATGGTTTGCTTTATTGTGCTGTAATTCTGGCCCCAGGTCAGGCAGAAAAGAAGACCTGACAGAGGTCCTGAGAAGCCAGTCGTTGTTGGAGGTCAAGATGAAGATTCGGCTCGACATTTGGCATATGGCTGTGGGTCAAAACCTGGAACCCAAAAACTCTGGTTGCTTGACCTCCTTACTAGTTTTGTTATGTTTTGTTCATTTTTGGTGACCACCAACACCCCGGTACCCTGAAAGAGAAGGACCATGAACAAGTATCGATCGGTGGTCAACCAAAGGGTCCTTCCGGGCCTTTGCTCATGATCCCACAGAAGTCAAGGCCAGAAGCTGGGAGAAACAACATTTTCCTGGACCCCCAAGGGGTGATTAGGGTGATTAATGGACACCACTTGACCTCTTTTTGGGGCTATCAATGGACACCCGGAATCCGTGGTGCTGGTTTCAGTCCAATGATTTAGTGTTCAGTTTTTGTCCAAGTCAAGGCCAGAAGCTGCCGCCTACATCCTGGCCGAGATGGATTCCTCAGCGGCTGCCGAGGTCGTGGCGGTGATGGACTACGACGATGGTGCGGCCTTCGTTCTGGAGCAGTTGGAGGTGGGTCCTGCCAACCTTTCCGTGGCGGTGGGGTGGGTGAGGTGGCGGGGGCTATATAGTCACTTAGTGTGGAGGATGGTGGCCCACAAGTTTGGGTGTAAATGCGATGTGTTTTTGATTGCATCCCAACAATCGATCAAAACACAAAACACAACTTGTTTACCCTACTTAAACATTTAGCTCGTTGGATTGCTTCCAAGAGTGTTTGTTTAATTTCTGGTGCTGGGCCAACCAAACCCCCATGGTCAAGTTTCAGTTGCACAAGAGTGTGGTTTATGTATGTTGATCATGTACCTGGACCTGTGAAAGGGGTGCTCAATGGAGATCCACCACTCGTGTTAGATTGGTCTATTGGGGAAGGGGCCGTTGAGGTGCTGTTGAAAGCCTATAGCATATGTCAGCGCTGATTTTCGACATACCCACACCCAACTCTACAAGTCACCAAGCCATTCTGACCTTCCCAAGGCTCTTTGTCACCCTCGGGAGACCGAGTGGGGTGCTGAGAGACCTGTCACATGGTGTACGAAACTCCTCCCGGTCGCAGGCCAACCTGATCGGTCCCTCCAACCCCACCAGTTGGGTCGGGTCCGGACCCCCTCCAGAGGTCTTGACTCGGGGTGCCGCTCAGGGTCCATGGTCCAGAAGCGCAACCTTTGGGGCGCTCCACTCGTTCATATGCCAGGCGGAGCAAAGCGGGAAGATCCTCGCGCACTTGGAGCCTTCGGTGGCGGCCGCCATCGTCACGGCGCGGGGGAACACGGCACGGGCACGCGCCGAACGAGTCACGGAGGATCCGGTGGTCCTTCTGTGAGGAGGGATGATTTGGGGGTGTGTTGAAGAGCGAACACCTTTTCTGGGACTTGGACTTGAGTGGGTGTTCGCATACTGGTATGTGTTGGGTTTGTTCTGACGATCGGACATGGCAACGGGTCATGAGAATTCTCAAGATGTCTCAAGACTCAAGAGTAACTCTGCAATAGATGGAACTCTTAGTTGTGCTTGGTGGCTTGTGGAGGGTGGGGCTGTTACTTGTCAGTTTAGCATGCTTGGGATCTTGCGGGTCGGAAGTGCGTCAAACATCGTCTAAAGACAGCGGCTCGGAATGAGATCCGGATCGATCCGGAAAATTCAGATCTTCGAAAGGCAACATGTCTTGCCTTTTGAGGGGACAGTTGTGACACTTTAAAATCTTTAGACCATTTTAGAATATTCTATATATTATAGTCATATATAGTGATGGAAGACTTTACGTCTATATAATTTGTGGAAGATCTGAAGTGAAGTGTTCCGCCCTCAATGTCCTGAAGTGTCCCAATTCGTTGATCTTTGACCGGAGGAGATGGAGTTTGAAGCCTCCGCCGCCAGCTTGCATGAGATGCTTGGCGGGACCTGGGGACAGCGCCATGCGGCATGGCCATGCGGCGTGGGATTGGTAGGGTTGAATGATGGTCATGTTGCCACTAGAGAGACTAACTCTACCTGCACTTACCTGCACCCAATTCAGAGGTGTTTCCCGGTGACAAGTTCGATGCTTTTAGCACCTGGTGTCGGGTCCCAAAACAGCCTGTTGGGGTCCTGATTCCTGAGATTGACTCTTTTTGACTTATATACATGTCAATGTTTTGGAACCTTGTGCCAGACCCATAACCAGTGGTCAGCAGTCAGTGGTCAACATCATGTTGGATGACTAGGGCGCTTCTGATGGTCTGTGGAGCGGCCGCCAAAGGTGTTCTCACTTCGTAGGAACGCAATTGAACCACCAAAGTCACCCATTCTCTCAACATCTCAACTCAAGTCGCACATGCCACCCTCCAAACAGGTCACCACTACCAGAAAGCTTTTGTATGTCTTATAGCTTCAAACACCTCCACAGCAAAACCTGTAGACTCGGGTGCTGGTGCATGGATTCTTTTTTGCTGTGTTATCAACCGTTTGTCCAGGAGTTCCATTCCACAAGGGTTGATTCTTTCCCAGGCATTGGTTTGAGGGGTACGTATGACGTATATCATGGTATATTTGTCGGAAACCCACGGTTCTGGAAGGTGCGAAAATCATGGTTTCCTGATGTTTCCTGATGTTTCCTGAAGCCAATCCATTCATTTGAGGATGGATTTCGATATCGCCTCGAACCTCCTGGCGGAGATGGACCCGAGCGCTGCTGCAGGCGTTGTCTCGTTGATGGCCTCTTGGTGTTTGAAGCTCCGTGGTAGACAGTCCAACTATGTTTTCCAGACCATCCAGGGGAATGTTGACCATCCATTGGGGTGATATAGCTTTTCCATGCTTTTCCATATACATGGATGGGCTGGGTTTGGTCAGATTGGATGGTTGACTGGGTCCAGTTTTGGGGACCATGCACTTGGTTCCCTTTGAACAGGTGTGAACGTATATAGCTGAAATATGCATGACGCGCATGACATAAATTGTAACACTATTCAACTCCCAGAACATATCATGTTAGAACATTAAACTGTTTGGACTGTCCTAACAACTCATTGCTTTTTGGAAGAATCAGACGCAACCACTTCCCGATCGACCAAGTTGCCCCGACTCGGTCAAAGGAGGCCCCTCGGCCGAACCCCCGCCCAGGAGGCCGACGCTGCAGCGGGGGTGCTGACGGCCGCCAGCAGCTACCACACGTCGGCACAGGTCGTGGACAAGCTCACGGAGGAGTGCGCGGCGGAGGCGCGGAGCGAAGCTGTGCCGAAGTCCCGGCCTGGTGCCACTGGACAAGAACTCCGTGGAAGTGGTGCGAACCTGACATGGCAACCTGGTCTAGGCATGTCAGGTCTAGGCAGTTTGCAGTCACTTTCACTTTCACTTTCATGCGCACGGTGCCGTAAAGCGCAGCGCCTTGGCTACAAATTCTCTAATTGGCATGCAGCTGGCTCAAAATCCGGTCCGAAGATATCGCGGCTGTTCTCCTCCGTGACGATGAGCTCTCTGACCCAATCAGTCACTTCATCAAAACTCCGGACCGGATAATGAGCATGTGCACTGATCCATTCTTGGAACAGCGCAGCGATGAGCGCACAAAGCTGGGCTGTGTATTCTTTCAGCCCGCTTGTGTTCCATCCCTTGGGGCCTAGACCGATGCTACCGCTTCGCGGTAGCTCGGATGTCCTGTAGGCCACTTCAAGGTGGCGTGCAGTCGTTTGGGGGATTCCTGAAAGCAAAAAGGTTGTCGGCTTCGGGCTTTTGGCATGGAAGAAGCCCTGTTGGAGCGTGAGCAAACAGAAAAGATTCGTGTCCCGACACCAGCGAACTGCTTGTGTGTTCCAGACCGAAGGTGCGTCTGGATGGTCACCTCTGAACCTCACAGGGTCTTCTGGATGCTCCATGAGGGCTCATATTTTCGTCTGTCCCTTTGAGAGCCGTATCCTTGTCGTTGTTCTCTCTCTCCTCCGCTTCCCGAATGGCGACCCTGATTTCTGCCATCTCGGAGGCGTGGCGCTTCTCTTCTTGTTCGATTCCTCTGCGTTGTGAGGCGACCCATGCCCCAAAGCCATTCTCCTTCTCTGTCATGTCTTCTTTCAACTTGGCAGCTCGGTTGAGAGATCGCCTCTCTTGATTGAGCTGCTTCTGGCGCTCCTTGAGCTGGTCTCTCGGGTCTGGCTTGACCAGTTCCCTGAGAATTTCCACTTCTTCTTCGCCAGGTGCCTCCGATTCCATGATCTTCCGGACAGCCTGTTTGATCTTCTGGTTTTCCAGGCGAAACTGACTTTCCGTAGATGAGGAAGAGACAGCCGACGAGGACTTGCCATTTCCATCCTCGGAGTCGAGGTTGATGCGCCTGCCGTCCCAGGCGTACATCACATGCCCCTTGTTGGCCTTGTTCTCCTTGTTTTCTTTCTTCTGCTTCTTGGTGTCCCAATCCTGCCATGCTCCCTTGGACCATTTGCCGTTGGCCTTCCATGACATCGTCTTGATCTGGTAGACCGGACGAGTGTGGCGTTCCTCCAGCAAATGTTTCGCCCTTTGGAGTTTGTTCAGTTGTTGGGTCCTGAGCCGTGGATTGTGTCGGTGGAGCTTGATGAAAGCTCTTGCAGCGCTCCTCCGTGAGCGCCGGCGCCGATGCCACGACGGCGAGGTCGCCGGAATGGCTGAAAGCGTGCTGCTAGAGCACTGGGGCCACGAATCTTCCTAAAAGGCTATTTCGAGCCCTAGTTTGCAATCCAATAAAAGTTTAAAACAAAGAGTAAACAACAACAACAACAACAACAACAAACAATGAACACATCAAAAGAAACAAGTACTCGCTTGGAGCGGTTCTGGGGTGCATCCACTCACTGGAATTATGTCGATCCAAATCAGCCTGACATGGAACTTCGAACAGAAAAAATCACAACTTCCAGGAGTCACGCAGGGGTGGTGTTTAGTGTTTAGTCCCTAAATGAGTGGAGTAGCTGGGCACCCCGACTTCCTCCAAGTTTGGCACCCCGTCTGGTGACTCCTGGTTCATGACTCGATCTACAGGTGTCTCTTCTTGAGGTTTTCGATGATGCAAGTTAAGAAATACTGCAGATTGCAGACTGTTTTAAGCGTTATCCATTCTGAGACCGTCCAAGAGAGGTGGAGAGACCGAGCCTGTAATGGCCTTAGGATGCCTTAGGGCTGTTCAGCCTCTCTAGCTTGCTCAGACAGCATCGATGGTTCCGTCGACACACCGCAGCATCGATCTCCGGCGAGGTGTTCTCGGAAATGGAGCCGGAGGCTTCGGCGGGCATTGCCAGTGAGCTGGCACCTGGGTTCGGGACAGATCTGAGTTGGAGAGCGTTTTTGCGGCAGGGATTGGCCTTTGAAGTCATTGGTTGGTTGACTTGTAGAGGGAAGACCCTCATGTGGGTATACCAAATCCATCCAAATCCGTCCAAATCCTCTATTATCCCCCAAAAGGTATACGGTGCTGGCACCTCCATGTTTTCCAACCATTGGGAGCTTGGCAGGACCTATGGGTTGACCGGTCCTCATGTATTTTTCCAAGCCGACCAGTATTGACTCCTCTGACCCAGTGCATGCCATCGCACAACTTCCCATCACAATTCTTCGTTGACTCGAGGAACCTCTGGTTGCTGACATGGTGCATAGACCATCATAAACCTCAAAGAAGTTGACATCATCGGCAGATGGACTGCAAATCCTCCTGTCAACAAAAATACCCTTTTAATCCTCCTTTAAACACATACCTGTTAAACCAATATACCTCTTCGCCCCTCCAAAAAAGTCCAGATGTGATGGCATTCACGTCCACGCGTCCAAGGAATACGAGACCTCCGCGCGTGCGGTGGCGTTGATGGAACCGTCTACTGCAGCGGCGCTCTTGGAAGCTGTGGAGCACTACGAGGAGCGGCACGTGCGCGTCGAAGGACCCCCAGGAGATGTGGGCTTTGACCCACCTGGTAGGGGTCACCTACCACATAAGCAGTTATTATCCCTGGAGCTCCAACCAAATATCCTCAGGTTCGGTGGTTAGACCCTGTTAGACCCCCTAAAGGCCCTAAACCCACCCCAGGAGGCAGTTGGAGCCCTATAGGGTATAGCAAGCAAACAACATCACCACTTACATTTGTGTACAAGGGTGTCTACCGTCACCTTGGCAGGGTTTGATCAGCCTCTTTGTGGTTGGCTGCAGGTTGGTGTTTCTGTTTGGGGGAGACACCTCTTTCACGAGGTTTGATTGGCAGAACTGGTGGTTTGGTTATGTTGGTGTATGTTTGGTTATTCATTGTCCAGGGAACTGGCTCAACAGTCAAGGAGAGCGGAAGGATCGGAAGGGGTTTGTGACTCCCTGCTCCGAGCTGGCTCGTCCCATTCATTTGGATGGTCCGTGGCGAAGCTGGGCGCCCACATGTGACTCCTAGTACTTGGGTGTGTATTGGAAACCAAAGAATACCAAACATGGTGTGCATTGGAATGCTGAAGTCATTGAATCACAATGGTCCGACTCGTATGTATCTAGTATATCTAGTATATGTATATGGTTCTAGAGCCAAAAAACAACTAACATGAGTATTCCTCCAGCTTTGACCCAGGAGGTGGTGGTTTCCTTCTTCGATCCCAACATCTACCCAACACGGTACCGGTCCTCCGGTCCTCCGGTCCGCTCTTCGGGCCGATTTCGGGTCCGGGTCAGCGACGCCCCAGCCGTTGTACCGGTGAGGATGGAGACATGGAGACAGCTACCGGTACCGCTGAGGTACAAAGACCCTAGGGTTGCAGTCAGGTGGTTTTCTGGGGGCATAAGACTCACTTCGCCAGGATTCCGCGGGCATCCTGGGGCAGATGAGCTACCGTGAGGCGGCCAAAGTGGTGGAAGAGATGGATGCACCGGCAGCCGCTTGGGTCCTCAAAGAGGTCGCTGGACGTTGGCAAAAAACATGGCAGAAAAGAACCAGAACTCTGTTGGGCTACTGGCCTACCTCCGTTGGGCTACGATTGGGGGCAGGTCCCGACGTCCCGACGTCCACCGATTTAGGACTGAGGTCGACCTCCAAGAGCAAGTCCCCCAGGGACCCCCCAGGGAGACTGAAGCACACGGGACCCACTAAGAAGTGGTGGACTGTTGGATCCCCTCCATGTGTCCCCACCAAAGACTAACAGCTGATGTTCGTCATCACGTGTAGAGCCCCACCAAGAGGACGACGAGTTCGTCGACGCTCGACAGGTCGATCCCGTACCCGACCTGAACAGACAACCCCCCCAAGGTGCACCGAACTCTTGAGGTTTTGGGAGAATTGGTTGGATTGGTCCGCACTGACCGACCCGTAAGTCAGCCAGAACCATCGCCATCGCGGTTCACACCTTTCCTGAAGCATCATCTACTGAGGCTTTGGTACTAGGATAGACCCAAGTGATATCTAATTTTGGTGAGATCCCTTCATGGCAAAATTCACATTCAGATGGACCTAAAAGACACACATTTGGGGCCATTCCACTCAAGGCCCCTCCTGCGACCCTCCTGTTTGGGTGATGGGGTGTGTTCTTCTTTACTTTCGCCTCTAAGAAGATGAAGAACATTCAGAAAACCCACCGGGGGACGAAGGTCCGGGTTGACTGAACAGCGGCTGAACAGCCCATCGAACGTCACCCATCCAAGTATAGCCACCATCATCGTGCTCCACATATCTTATCGTGCATCAGTGCTGTATCAGCTATATTTCTATAGACAAACAGTGAGTATTTCAAGGCAGTGATGGAGTATCTGGAGTACGAGGACGCTGGGGGCATCTTGTCGCTTGGAGCGCAGAAATCACGAGTGGTGAAGGAATGAGGGCTATCGGTGGGACTTCGGAACAAAACAGAGAGTTCCCAGGGTCGCACCCTTTGAGAAGAACTGCTGTTTCCTAGCGCTGCTGTTTCCTGTATCAAGTCTCTTGGAGTTGATATTTTTGCCCGGAACTTCTCGCCAACCTGGACAGCTAGCTTCTAATGCAGAGGTTGATGACTGTGATTTGTACAGAGAAGCAGTTGATCTAACGTGTGTGGTTGGCTATTTTAGCTGTCGCTGGGAACCCAGCTGGAACCGGACCGAGAGTGCCACGTGTGACAGGCGGTGAGTCCTCGAATCCACTCCAGGTGCCACCCTCACCACTGGATGGTTCATTTTTGTTCGATCCCCCATATAGGCTGTAGATGGTATAGGGATCCAGATAGCGAAGTGAGCGAAACAACTGGGCGGGAGGGGCCCCTCAGAAGGTATGTGGATCGCTAAGGAAGAAGGGTCAGAGCTAGACGCTAGACCAAACTCTGTGAATTCTCAGCCCAAGCTGGCCAGCCGCGACAGGCACGAAATGGGGCTTGAGAGTGCTGCTGGGGTGCTAGCCAAGATGGAAGCTTGGATTGGAAGACTCATTCCCAAGGTACAAGCTCGATTGATGCTGGTTTCCGTAAGTAACTTGTTCAGGTTAGTGAGAGCACTTGAGGGGCCTGGAACAAAAGAACACATCCATCCATCCATCCATCCGTCCATCCAGCCAGCCAGCCAGCCATCATAGACCAGGTCTTGGTGAATACCTGATACTACTATATACATACGCCAGGTCTTGGGGAATACCCAGGACTTGGCGTCTTCCGCTCCACCAGTTCTAGCCGCTCCAGCCGCTCTAGTGCCTCTAGCCGCTCCAGCCGCTCCACCCGCTTACCCCTGCAACACCCGCAACTCAAGGCTTAAAGGTTCTAAGAAAGTCTACAGTTTGGGAAGTGTGCATTTGTTCATGTTTGACCAATATTTGGGCTCTAAGTAAGTGTCCATCAGTTAGTCCCGTTAGTGCCATGGCCCCGAGCACATGCACCCATCCGATTTCGCACCCTTCGGTGTTTCTCGAAACTTCGCCCGGACGAGCAGAGGGGAAGGAATAGGAAGAGCAGAGGGCGACCGGCGCGACCGGGCTTGGTTCGAAGTTCAGAAGCTTCAAAAGTTGGACAACACCATCATGTTGTGTGTGAAAAACCAACGTTTCCTGCCTGCACCCGACTTGAAACCAGTTCATTGGGTGTGTCTTCCTTGTTGGACCAGTGGAGTGCAGCTAGCTGTGGGACCAGTGTGTCTCCCAGAAGTGGCACCGTTCTGGCGTTCTTGCAGGACCTCAGCGAGGCCGCGCAGGTGGTTGAAGAGATGACTTGTGGTTCAGAGCAGATTTTACCCGAGACACTTGGGACGTGGACTTGGGGGTGGAGGTCAGGAACTGACGTATAGCATGTCATTTCTGTGACATGCCCAGTGGAATTCAGGGGGTATGTACTGATATTTCGTAGGAATCAGATGGTTTTAGTGGAACTGGGGACAGTTCCTCTAAGACTACTGTATTGGGGTCACTGGACTTGCTGGGGGACATGTGAAAATTGATGGCGTTGGAAACACCAAAGTCGCATGAAAGCAGAGGCAGAGATTATATGTAACACATCATGTTTATTACTACTGAGGCTCACCAGGGGTATCCCTTTCCATATATATATTTTGTTTAAACCAGGAACCGTTCGGAACTACAGCGAGTTCCGTAACCACTTGCTACCAGAACCTTCCTCACGGGGTGTCCTGGCAGGAATACCCTTACACATCCTTATGCACAAAGTACTTGTAGATGGGACATCCCTTTGAAGACCCAGGTAGTCGATCCCTATAGTGATCCAAATGCCCTCTCGGAAGGTGAGGACGGGGTCGGAGGATGTAACTGATGTCGGTTCGGTACGAGTCGACGGATCCACAAAGGAGGGATAGTGGTTTTGGTTCGAAGCTGCTGCTGGACCCGGTGGGTTGGCCGGAATCCCAACAGCGCTCCCACTGGACTCCCACCTTCCCCCAGAACGTCAGAAGATGCGTTTAGGGGGTGGGGCCGGGCCACCACCTGAGGACACTTGGAGCCATATATAGGCCCTTATTATGTCAATAAATATAGTAGCTTAGGGTATGGTCATCACATTCTTAGAATGTATAATGTGCGGTGTCCTTAGAATGTTGATCTTGACAATGTTACTACAAGCAACGGGCATGAGAAGGCGGGAGGACAACTGCATACGAGTTGCTTTCCAATCCATTCTGACATCCTTTGATGTTTACACTCTCACCATATATATATATATAGGCAGTTATATCTATAGCAAGCAAACGACATGACCATTTACATCCACTTAATGTAGTCTCTTGATGAATCAAATTCCAAACGAAAAGGTTCCAATCTGAATGGCGGGGGTTATATATTTATCAACAGACAATTACTTTGTGTCCAACAAAAATTGACTTCTCCACGGAAGGTTTGGTTCTTTCTCCATAGGGGACACCTCCGTTCGTGGCTTTAGGTGCACCAAGTCGGAGATGCCTGGAATAATTCAGGTTCCCTACAAGTCAATGAATCCTCATTTTGTTTACTGGAGTGGTTAAGAACACTACTCAAGGAGGTAAAGACCCGGGTTTTACTAGGTCTTTGGACTTGTAGGCTGTAGGGGTCCTTTTTAGGGATTCTTTCCGTGGAGATACCAACAAGATGGATTATTTTGTCTCTGATATGTATAGTTCTGGCTACTTCGCATGTTCACATTCTCACTTCTTACCTCCAGTACCCCCACCAGAGGATGGGCTGCGAGGCGCCTTCAGACTCGATCGCAAGTTGGTGTGGAGGGGAGCATGCTTTGTTCGCCTTCCCAACCTGTGACCTACCTGCTGACGATCCACTGATCCAGGATGGAGTACCATCAGGCGGCGAAGATCTTCACCCAGTTGTCCAGCGCCTCTTCAGCTAGCATCATCTATGAGATGGACCCTGCCACTTGGGCCGGCCAGTGAACCCCGCAAGCTTCGCCGACGGACGGTGCGATGTTTCACGCAGCGCAGCGGTGGCAAACGTGGGAACGTGGGGAACTTGTTGGCTAAAGGAGATGAGTGGTGCGGTTTTGCGAATCTGTGAGTGGTGCTTTTCAGGAGCACGCTGACTTTGAGCATCTTTGGGCCAGATGGTGTAAGTATAGCGATGGAATGCCATGAACGGAGCAAAACTATCAACCCCATCGACCCTTGCAGTAGAAGCCACCCCGCCTCGGACCGAAGACATGTCCGGATCCGTATCCGGAAGACCAGGGTTGGACCCTGCAGACTTGGCCCAGACCCGAAGACGAAGACCAAGTCCCAAAGGGGTGAGTTCAAGCTCCAAGCCATGCGGAGTTCGCGGGCAGTGTTCCAGTCTCTGAGCCATGGAAGGAGTGGCACTGGCACCACCAAGATAGATGTCTTTGAGAAAGATGGGGGATGGAGGATCCATCTAAAGCACCACCCAAAACTTGAGGGTAACTTGTGCCGTCTTTTTTGAAACCATGTGAAACCACTGGTCACCATGGAATCCATGCAAACCCGCGCTTATCCCAGCTCGTCAGCTGGGCGTTTCGCCCACGACCCATCCCCACGTTGCGGACGTGTCCTCGTTCGCCACGGCGCCTTCGGACGTCGAGGATTCCGCAGCCTACATCCTGGCTGAAATGGATCATCACCTGGCAGCGGAGATCCTACTGCAGCCCGCACGGCATGTCGATATACGTGTATATGTCGATGTGTCGATGTTGGGTGTTTTTTGCCCGTTGAGTCTGAGTCTGAGATACTCAATCACGAGATGCAAAAAGCAACATAGAGTTATAGATAGGATGAGTTAGGAATCAGGAATCTATTGAACTGAACCCTTTTAGTTTCTTTTGCAGTCGTTGGTCTCTCTCTTCCAGCCTTGACACTTTGTAGACTACCGATATCTACCGATGGGAAGCCCATCGCGAGCACGTGGCACGCCTGGCACGCTTGGGCCAGAGATAATTTCATCTACCAGTGACCATCCAACAGGTGTTTCTTGAAACCTAAAAGGCGGTTCTTCACCTATCTGACTGGTGCTTAGTAGGGAATATGGGAATGGATCCAGAAGGGCCTACAGGGGTGGTTCATTCCCTCATTCCCTACGAGTCACACGAGTCTGCTAGAGTCTAAGATGTGGATCACTGCAGTCAGACATCCCCTTGCATCGTGAAAAAAATCCTCAGAAGTTCCAGTCGGACCTGGTATCGGACCTGGTATCGGAGAAGATGAATATCCCCCACACCTGCTGACGCAGGACTTCCAATGGCTCATTTTACCCCACCTGGACCTCTAGCAAGGGGGTAAACCGGTAAACCAGGTAAAATGAGTCCAACTTGGACTTTCATGACGCCAAACGCCATGTCTGGATGAAGCAAACTGGGTCTCCACCACACCGAAACCAGAAGGCAAACGCGCCCATTCAGCTGGGACTCGAGATCTCGGAATTCCGAAGGGCTCGAGATCGTGAACCACCGAGGGGAGTTGGTCGGTGTGGTATGGAGGGTCTGAAGAGAAGACCGTACGCATCAAAGCAGCCGTCCTGGACGGCTCCAGACCCCTCAAAGCAACCTCCCCCAATGGATATAGAGATACCCTAGAGATCCAGTCGTACCTCCTCAAAAGGTACGACTGGACCCTCCTGGCACCCACCCCACTCCCACCGAACCTCAGAGGGTACGACTGGATCCTTAGGGATATATGTATACTAAATGCAGTCCTATGGATCTTGTTTGGGCAGATTCCGCCGGATTCTACGGCCTGTTTGGACACACCAGCAAAGCTCGCTGTTCGGATTTCTTGCTCCAGCTGGGTGGGTAAGCGCAGGTCCAGGTCAAGAACCTGCGCCGATGCGAAAGACCATCCGAGCACGTTGGGAAAACAACCGACCCGGAGGACCCATTTGACCGAGGGGTGAATAGGAGAAAGAACTGGCACACCCGACCAATGTCCACACTATGAAACGCATACGCGGCATACGCGGGTCACAATTCTTTCTTGGTGCCTCCGCAAGCATGCATATATGCTGCATTGCTCATCAATGCCCTGGAGATCCAAGTGCATGTTTGTTGACTTGGTTGACTTGGTGTTGTAGTGTAGGATGCATAGAACAATGGTTCTTCGGTTTACCGAAGACCAATAAATCAATGGTGGTTGAAATCCCAGGGTCCCTGACCCCCCAGGCAGCTGGACGAATACGGTGGTATCGAGCACCATGTGACGGCATGCCATATCGTGGAGGAGATGGAGACGCAAACAGCTGCCGATATACTGAGCCTTGCTTCCAAGAAGAATCTATCCCATAGGATACCATAGGGCCGAAAAAGGGCTCCTATCCGAACGCTTACTATAGTGAATATGTATTGGGGTGGATTTCGAAGGCGCCAAGTTGGGAAGCGCTTGGAGCTTTGACTCACCATCAAGGTATAAATATACAACTATGGGAAGAGCTGTTCTTTCTTGAAGGTTCTAGAGTGCACCACCTTTCCCCCTAGAATCTTCTGAAAGACGACTGCGGCGGAACTTTCATTAGTACAAATCCCAAAGCGGCACAGCTGTAAACCAAACTAAGAACAACCAACAAACCTGGCTTCCTCCTGAATTACGAACCACATTCACCTTGCGCACCAAAAGCAAACATACGACATGAAGAAAACACCACCACCAACAACAACGACAACAACAAGAACAACCACAGGGTTGTTTGGACTTCCATCTACCTGACCCCCCTGACGTCACCCCGAACGTCTCGCAGGTCGGCCGCCGACCCGGCAGACGCGGCAGAGTTGGTGTCCTCCATGGACTACGAGGGCTCCGCAGGGGTGTTGCTGGCGATGGAGTCGCAGCAGGCGGCGAAGGTGATGCATTTGGGACTGAAGTGTGGTGCGTTTGGGAGGGGAGTGAAGGGATGGAGGGGATTGGTTCAGGAGTACTGGACGAGTTTTTGGAGGTTTGAGGGTTGGGAGACTTTTGGTTGAGGTGAAAAGAAGCTCAGCTGTTTCGAGGTGGGACCTGCGAAAATTTGCCTAAATGGTGAACAAAAACAGGGCCTCATGCTTTTTGCACGGTGTGTTTGGCTGAAGAGATATGCTTTGGCTGCTTGGGCGGTTGACTCTGGGTGAATTTGTGATGGCTGGGTACCCCAACCTCGCTGGTCAAGATTCGATCCGATCGATGTCAGTTCACCCGGTTCATCCGGTTGACCTTGGCAGGTTGACCTGTAGGTCGTCCATTCTGTTCTTTTCCCTGCAAAAAAAAACACCAGGGTCTGCCAAATGCAACGATATACAGCCAATTCTTCCCATCCCTATAGAGGAATTGGTTCATCTTCGGTGGTGAACCGAGAACCACCCAAGTGTATCCAAGTGTCATGACCCACAGCCATGTCTTTCTCTCAGGTCGGAGTTGGAATATGATCACGCGGCAGAGATCCTCTCGCGTCTCAAGGCGAGTCGTTGGTGGTCAAGCAGATCGGACGAGAAAGAGTCCGATCTCCAAATCAAACACACAGAACCCCTGTCAGGATCGTTTCGGAAGACTATGTATATATACGTGCTATATAGACCTGCTGGGACAGTTAGGGGAACATATATTGTTTGGCTAGTAGGTAGTTGCCAAGATCTTGCTTTGCAAAGCCTATAGATAGGCAAATCTGCAAATCGCGTGGTGTTGCGAAACGGAACTAATTACCCTCATGGACCGTACTACCCGGTGACCATCATTCTTTTCAACACCTTTGGTTTGCATACAGTCCTAAAGCATCTTACAACCTCATACCTGTTGCATCCAAGGAATCTAAGCTAAATCACCCTAAATGTTCCAACCACCTTCCCACGCACATGGCCCAGTTGACCTATGTTCATGTGTTTCACCCCAGATAAGTCCTGCCCACATCCTCTGTTGGTCACCGGAATTGCTTCGGTCGGACCATCCGCTCCGACCCCGGTGAAACGCCGCCGCCCCAGGTGCCGAAGGCTGCTGCCATCCTCTCCGAGGCGGAGTACTACGACGCCGCAGGCGGACGCGCGGACGAGGGGCGGAGGACATCAGCGACCAACGGCGGAGGGACCGAGGGGCGGAGAACGAGGCAGAGAGGATGAGAGAGGTGTCTCGTGGGGTGTCCCAAACATTCCCAAACATGTTCTACGTGGGGATGTATTCTTTTCTACTCTCTTCTTTCTTTCTATTTGGGGGTTTAAGAAAATAACTGTCTGTGGATCCAGGCAAAGCACCAAAAGGAGGCAACCAGTCGGTTCCAAAGACGACCCAGCCATAGACCGTCATAGTTGCTGCCTGGGATCCGGTGTAGTCTTAGGATGAGGAGCTTCATGCAGCGATATTCCTTGGTCCAATCGTTTCTCGGATGTTCGCAAAATCGTTCACTCCAGTTCGACCTGACTGTGAAAGTACAGACGAGAACATCCCTTCGACCATCCGAAAAGAAGGTACTGCAATATATTGGTTTAAGGTTCTGAACTTGTTCTGAACTTCATAAAGTGGCGGCGGCACTCTCCAGTCCTCAAGCACCTTCGGCAGCTGTCGTGCTTTCACCAAGATCATCGGATCGGCTCATGAATACCAACAGGACCCGCTGTGGATCGAGCTGTATATCTTAGAAGATGCTTTGGAGTGGATTTGGAGGGCCCAACCATCTTTCTGAGGAAGCACTTAAAACCCCACGGATTTGAGATTAGAAAAGGAACATCCTTCTCTGATCTTCTTTGCTCCGTTGTGGGGAACCCTTCAGAGGGTCAAGGGCCTTCAGGTCTTCCGCTTCCATTCGATGGAAGGGGCTTCCTGTTTTTTTTCCGTGTGACACCGGGCTCTTGTTCACGAAGTCTACTTGCATCGTGCTGGTTCGCATGGCATCGGGAGGTGGACGTTGCCGTTCCAACTCCCTGTTCTTGTGGACGTTGCCGTTCCAACTCGACTCCATCGCCCGAGTTCAGCTGGAATCTGCGCGCAGACCGTTGCGGTGCGTTGGTGACCCAACACCGACCTGTGACCTGTTTCTCGTTTCGTCCACTTGATGTTCCTTCACTGCGACTCGTGTTTCGGAAGCACGAGCGAACATCGAGATCTGTGTTTCGAGCCTCCGCGATCCTCCAGCGTCGATCCAGCGCAGCAGCTGCTGCCGCAGCACCGCTGCACCGATCCGATCCGCACCGCCACCGATCCGATCCGCAGCGCAGGCATCTTGGAAAAGATGGACTTGGCGAAAGCCCAGCAGCTGTTGCGTTCGGGCTTTCTAGACCGTTCCTGGGCCATCGATGATGCGGGCTGCCCGTGTGGACCGGTGTGAGACCGGGAACACGGGGGTTGATGTGTTGGTTGGTGTGTTGTTTAGAGCTCAGCTCAGCAGACATGTTACAGGCATGAAACTGTAAGAAAGCTCAGGACTGCTGACAGCTGTTCCTTTGATCTTGGATCCCCCTGCTTGTTTCTAGTCATTTTCCCGAGTTCACCCAGTCTCATTGAAAGTGGAGGGGTAGAGAGGTTGGAGAATTGAGTGTTTTTGATGCTTCTTGCTTTGGCCAACGTGCGGCGCGAAACTGGAGAAGATTCGTACGACATGCTGGCTGAACCTTTGCCTGCGGATGTCCTTCGTCCGGAAACTCCATATGAGCTGAGTTGATGTTTGTCATGCCACGGTCATTTGAGCTACTGGTACAATCAGAAAGACCTTGCACAGGGCCTATTGTAGAAGGTGAATCCAGGGTTTTAGCCAAAAGACGTGACAATAGATTCAATAGATGCCGATTCATTTCCAAAAATCAATCCGCAAAACTCAAGGCTACACACTCGTTGTCAAAGGTCAAAAGACCAGCCTTGCACTGCAGCAAGGGATGCACCCAACAGGTAGTCTGGGACAATGCTGCAAACCCTATGAATTGCTCCATTGGTGCATGTTGAATTCGCAAGGTGAGTCCACACGGACGCGCACGGACGATGTTTATGCTCCGCACGGAGTATGTTCCAAGTCCAGGAAGAGTTGCCAAAGGTTGACAATGATTACAGTGGCTTCAGAGTAGATGGCACAGACGCCATGATGTCCTATCTCGATGGTGATCCACATATTTTCACCACCTGTTTGGGGTCTGTGCCATTGGTCCTCTCAATCCACTATAGAATTATATATGCATTTCCCCGTTGCTTGGGCTTTTCCAACTCTCTATTGTTGAAGCAACTGTACGGGCCTGAGTGAGTCACGGTACGGCCCTGAGTGTGTCACTGTCGGACCTGCCATGGCGTTTTTCGTCTTTTCCCATCCAAAAGGGACTCTTCGATGGAGGGGAACCTCTAGATATGGAGCAGAGAAAGCGAAGGAAGTCTGGTTTTCGAACGATCCAGTTGACCCCTCGGGGGCCAAGTCTGGTGTTGAACTCCAAGCTAATAGCGATGGCCTCCAAACCAAAAGCGTTGTTCATCGCTAGTGGTTTGAGCCTGCAGTGCTCACTTCATCCAGTTTGCAGTCTCCGTCGGAAGTCTTCGCTCAGGCGATGCCATCCTCGATGCCATGGAAGACGCGCAAAAGTCTTCACAGCTCCGCACGCGTGTGGCCAAGCGTGCCCGCACCAGCTGAAGAACACGGGGAAACGGCTGAAACGAGGGGCTCTTCAAGAGGGGCAGCTGAGACTTGATAGATGTGATTTGTTTGAGCTGAGAGGATCTGTATATCCACCTTGCTGATCCTCAGAATCTACACCGAATCATCATGGAGGTGGAAAACCACCTGTTTTGTAGAGGAAAACCCGATTCCTTGGGTAATCTCCCTGGATCTTGCTTGAACTCTTTACCGTTCCAAGAGGCTGTTTTGACTTAAGCAGAAATCCTGGTCCGTTGTTCAAAAGACATCAGGCGCAGGGCTCCCTCTTGCCCACAGAGAAGCAACAAGGCAACATAGGAGCGATAGGATGAAGTAAGCGAAACGTGCCGCTTGTGGTGGAAGCTCCAAGAAGTTCAGCTCAGCTGGTCTGACTGCGAAGTGTGGATCCGCCTACCTGGACCTGACTTCAAGTACTTCAAGCACCTAAAAAACATGGGACATGAGTGACATGACTCCATTAGAAAACAGCTATGTACTTATACCCATATATAGTTTGACGTGGTCTTTTTTCCGGAACCGGGGGCCCTCGGTTGATCTACGGCGGCTCGAACTGGCGACCAAGCTTGGACCGGCCAATATTGTGAATCCTTGGGTGAGAAAAGGGAATAACTCTTCGGACTTCAGACTGAGATGGTTTTCTGTACTTACTCCGGCAAGCAAAAAAGGGCCCTGGGCTTTTGGTTTGAGTCCGCTTGGTTTGGCGCCATGGGGAGGTTCTCAAGGTAAGATCCGCTCATCCGATTCACACTCAACGGCTTTATTGTGGAATGATGAAAAGGCCAGCTGAACCAGCTGGACAAAGAGGAGCGGCTTGCAAGCGGCGATCAAAGCCCAGTGCACAGGAGAACGAAGCAAAGTCTTCGATGTAGTGTCCGGTATGGCTCAAAGATACCACTCTTGGATGCAGCTTCAAAACAATTCAGGCTTGTAGAAGTGAGCAGATTTGTGAACCAAGTTTGAGCCAAAACCCATTTGAACAGCGATATGTATTATGTATCCATTTAACTTCGTAGGCGATCCCCCTCCATGTGGCTGCAGACGTTGTAACGAGCCTTCTGCAAGATTGATTTGGGACTGACACCTTCGGAGGAGTTTATGTTTTGCAGCACATGGAGCGGGTTCGATTACACGACCAACTTGTCAAAGTGCGAGTGATGTTTAACACGTTTCAAGGAGCGATATGGAGGTGTCTCACACTAACCAAGGAAAAGTTGCTATTCTTGAACTTTAACCTTTTGGGGGGGCAGTGGTTTTCCCACTAAAATCCCACGAGTGGAGAAAGGTTCACCTCTAATGTTCAGGGCAAACACACTGGTGATTAGCACACTCGTTGGTTCCCTGCAGTGGGGTCCCTGCGCAGCGTAGCACGTCAGAGGTCAAAAGCTTGATTCTGCTAGGGATGTGTCTTGTACCGTTGTACTCTCAACAAACCCCAGGGCTCCAAGTGCCTTCTAAGAAGGTGTTTGGGGTGGGGTTGGAGGGTCCAAACACCTTCTGAGGAGGTACTTGGAGCCCTACGAAAAAACATACTGTACAACAAATAGTTCATATCCACTGGCCGTCAGAGAGATTGACTGTCCCAACCACTGTTCTTCCGTGTGAGAAAAACATCTCGCTGCTCCAATCATCGACCAGTCAGATGTGCGAAGAAATGCGATGAAGCAAGAAGGCTTGACAATTCATGTATACGATATTTGCCATTATAAGGTTGGTTTTAAGATGTTTTGTGGGGTAGGTACTGTAGATATTCTATTCATGGATTGTTGGGGAATAGCTCGACACCTGCATCAAGCTGCGTGGGACTTGATATCAAAACTATGACCACCCTGTTTACACCGCTGGTTGTCCGTGTCGATTGAAAGGATGTTAGCGTCTCCAGGTAATGGTCGGGTGATGAAGGATGTAAGATGGACCCCAACAACAATGTTGGAAGATGGACCACCAGGAAGGTGGTCGTAAAGCCTTCTGAGCGAAAACCTGAATGGCTCTAGCGAGTGAGGGAAGCTGAGTTTCTTACGACTGCGGCGTCCGATGCAACTCCCTCGCTCGCTCAGCCTCCCTGTGTGGGACCTGGGCATGACGAACATCGGGTTGGGTAGGAGGGGGGGCTGAGTCGGAGCGACGCTCAGCGAAGCCTCCGAGGATTCGGCAAATGACCAGCGAGTCGTTGGACAGCCCAGAGGCGAAGCGAATCGGTTCGGAGTCCGGAGACTGAAGGAATCATTGGGACCTCCAGAAATCGGTCCCCCTACAGGTACCTTAAGATCCAGCCTCATGCCTTTTCCTGGAATCTCAACTGGAGGCTCACAAGCCGCACAAGCCGTGTAATAAAATCCCGGATGAAGAGGTTTTGAATCCAAATGATAAGCTATATATATAGTTCGATTCTACTTTGCGGTGGTCCATTGGTAACACACTCACTTGCTTCCCACCTCCTGCCGTATTTTTTCAGAACACGACGTTGTGGAGGTGTGTGTTTTCCCAGTGTTCTAGTCTTCTTACGAATTTACTATCTATGCGCTGGAGGTATTCTTATTTAAGGATAAAATGTAGGAGGATACTGTCACATCACGCGCCACATCACAGTAGCAGACATCGCATAGACATCGCAATGTCGCCAGCGTCGCCGACATGGACCGCACAGAGTTTCCCAGAGGGGGGGGGGTCGGCCAAAAAAAAGAAAAAGAATTGGTGGCCTTGATTTGAGGCAGCACCAATTTTTTCTTTTTTGGCCAACCCCCCCCCTCCCCAAACGGAGAGCGTACTGAAGAATCAGAAAGGAAAATGCGCAAGGACATGGAATAGGACAATCCTGATGAGACCTCATGTGTTGAAGGGGATTTATGCTGAAAGGTCCAAATGGGAGACAGAGATTCTGAAGCATCAGCAAAGCACAACAGCAGATGAGAGAACGCAAAGGAGTGGATTGAGCAAAGGGAAAAAAGCATCAGGTGGGAACCACACGAGAGTCAGAGCATCAGGTGGGGGTGCCAAGCAACAATTCCCCCACTTGGTTGGTGAGGTTAAGACATGGTTGGAAAGGGAAAGGAGTTATGGGCATGGGGTGCAGAAGATGGATCTTGCATGGGAATATTTTCAGCTGCTATCAGTGGAGAAAGTCAAGCTTGAGGAGAAAAGGGATGAGCTG